GGCATGCATCTATGTCGATTGAGAGAAGGATTCTGACCATTCGACCTTCAGACTCGGACAGGTTGATGGCAACTGCGAAGGGTATTTAAGGACAATAAGGATAGGGTTTTGGAACCGACAGGTTCATTTCCGCCGCTAGGTTTTATCTGAATCTGGCTCTCGGTTTTTCGGTGATCTTGGGTAGATTTATAGCATTTCAAGCTTTTTTCTTTGTATATAATCCCATATTTTTAAAGATATAAGCATGGTATGAAGTATCTTGAGTATCATTTCTTCATTCTCTCTCTCTCTCTCTCTCTCTCTCTCTCTCTCTCTCGGTCTCCCTTAAGTTTCTGTTTCTCTTCCGGTTTCCCTATCTTTTCTATTCTAATCTATTCTTTCTCTTTGTTTCACAGGTTTTATTGAGGTACATGTCACGACAAGCTCCTAACAACTTGGTATAAGAGCCAGTTGAATCAGAGGAGACACTTGTAAGCTTTGTGGCTATGGCAAAAAACAACGGAAAAACCGCGGTGGTTGAACCTCAAAAGATGTGAACTTTGGAAGAAAATGTGCATGAAGTGGACCAACTCCTCTTGGATTTTATGTTTGAGATGTATGAATCCCAGCAGCAAACCTGAGCCATAATCGACCAAAAAATGGCTCTGTTCAGCCAATGGACGGAGAGGCTCACCGACCTAATACACGATCGCGCACGACTAGGTGAAACACGGTAAATGTAAGCCCCTTCCCCTCTGTTTTGTATGTGGATAGATGAATTTTACCAAACCCTAGCACCAGAGAAATATGGGTCAGCAGTGGATCGAACAAGAGAGATAACCTCATGAGAAACCCTATCTCAAAAATTAAAATACCTGTTTTTAAAGGGAAAAAACCCTAAACTTTGATTAAGAGATGCAACAAATATTTTCATGTTTTTAATATTCCAGGAGAAAATAAAGTAGAAACAACAATGTATCTAAGAGGCAGGATGAAGATTTGATTTCATGGGTTAGCAAATGACCCTAGATGTTTGAATGAGAAATATTTGTGGAAAGATATTGACTGAAAACCCTGGACTTTTTGAAAGATATTTTCTCTCCACTTTTGTAAGTGGCCTAAAAGAGGAACTTAGACCGATGGTGAGGATGCACGGGCCACTCACCTTGACTTATGCATTTGAACTGGCTCTATGGTGAAAACAAATGGTAGATGTCATCAACCTTTACAATAAACCAAAGAACACAAATGTCTCTGCAACTTCATCCAAGTCACCTAGTTCCAGAGGAATTCTCCCACCACTGAAAATTTCTTCAAGACCCAAAACTTTCAAAAAGTATCACACCTGCGGGGTGTCCAAAACATTTGAAACTGAGAGAAGCAATCTAAGCTACAAATGCGCGGAAAATACTGCCCAAGACATCAGTGCAAAGAAAAATAGTCATGGAAGTGGAGAAATGTGAGAGAGACGAGAAGTACAGAGAATCATCTCTGACGGAGGAACAGATGATGCAGAGATCTACGACCTATCCTG